GCACTTCAGACTCCAGAGAATTTCAGCACCAAGCACATTCCTTTTGACCAGATAAGAAGACAATGTTACCTCGGCCACTAAAGTTTCTGTTTCACATGGGGCACACGATGTTGAAGGAGTATTTACACCAGATGAATTAGATGTAGATGTCCTTGGAAAAAGAGAACTCAGGGCATGAGACTGCTTTTTTTGTTTTACCTTTCTTTGATGTGTGATTTCAGAACAGATTCTTCCATTTTCGCGATATCGATCTCCTTCATGCATAATCGGCACTTGGCTCTGAACTTCTTTTCTAACATCGATAAAATCCATTCTTTATAAGCTTGATTATCCATCCATTGGGGATTAAAATAGCACTTCCCAGGCATAACTAGTCTAAACTACATAACACAAATACGAAGCCGTGCATTTGCGAATACGCTTTACAATAAAGTTTTGAAATGACGCAAACTTGTAAGGACAAGTGCGGATGGTAAAACGGCAAATTTATTGAAAACTACAAGGTACATATTGTTACGAAATTCGAGAGTATTTCAGTTTCGATAAGAAAAAGATCTAAGCATATGCGACAGAAGATGAAGTGGAGTCTCGCCCCGAACGCATTGATTGTCTGCTGTGCTCCGCGCGCTTGGCAGACACCAAGACGCTAGGCCCGGTTAGAAACGGTGGCGTTAAGAACTTGGTGAGAGAGCTTGAGAACAAAACAGAAAGAACAAGAAAGATCCGCGGGTGTTTTATAAAAAGGGCCGCCGGCAGTATTGGACAAATTCAAGGACCTATCAAGTTTTTCAAGGACCTAAGATGTTTTTCAAGCACTTTCAAGGACCTAAATTTAGCAAAAAAAAATTCCAGGACTTTCAAGGACTCTCAAGGACCGTGGGAACCCTGTAATAGTAATGCATGTTTGTTAGTTATGCACAAAAAATAGCACCACGTCTGAACCAATGGAGGAAGTGTTTAATATAATAAAAAGTGACACATAAGCAAATAATATAAACATGAAAGTTATATGTATGCCAAATTTAACGTTTTTAACAGAATTAAATTTTTAATGGTAGTTAAGTTTATGCTTAGTTTAAATTGCATTAAATGTGACTTAGGGGGAATTTAATGATTACAGAATGTTAAAACTAAACCTACTTATCTAAAAGATCTGCTAATCATATAATGCCCATTTTAAGTTCAAACAAAATAAAATCCATTTCTGTTCCAACAATAAAATCCATTATAACTAAGAAAAGTCATTTGCAAATTGCTCATAACAGCTGAGAGGTAAACAGTCTATAGAAAAAGACCTTCATTACCTGTGTTTATTGCCATGAAATTTCAACTCATGTCTAACTTTCATCTGAGGTTGAGAGAGGAGAATTGAGGCAACTTTCATAACAAGGTCACTGAAAAATAAAATGAAACAGCCATTCTAAATTTTATACAAATAAGAAAATAAATAATTTAATAAATTGAAAATTATTCAAAACTTTTTTAAATGATAAAATTCACTAATAAAACTAATATTATCATCAGTAATAAAAACTAATATTATCATCAGATTTTGGCCATGAAATCGTAATAATTAAGGATAAATTATAAGAGTTGGCACCTCTGCAAAAACATTTATTATTTTGTGATAAAGTTAAGAGTAAATATAATTTAGATGAACTTACCTATTCTTTCTAGATTTTTCCACACCTTTTTCTAATTCTGATACTAGTTTGTCACTATACAAGCTTTTAGAATACACTTCTAACAAATGAAAATCTTCTTGAATGAATTCTTCATCCTCATCAAATGGACCAACAATCTAAAATTTAAACATTATTTATTTGTTTAAGAAAAATTATGCCGAAAAATATGCATGCAATTCAAGGCAATAGTTTAGAATCAATTATGTGTAGCAGGTTGTTCAGAGACAGAATTTTCTCACTAATAATTTAAATTTCATAATAATATAAATTTAAAGCTTAATCTCAATAAATAATTAGGTTTAAAAATACTCATACACTTCTTTAGCAAAACAGAATTCTCTCACACTAAAATAAAATTTAACAGACTAATAGTCAAAATTGAATTCCTATACAGAATTAAACATATCAACAATCTAAATTTTGAGCTTAAAATCCTTAACCAAAAATTTAAACTCAGTACTGTGCTCTGAATACAGGCTTTATGAAAAAAGAATTTCCTCTCACTTTGATTAACAATTTTAGGTATCAAAACTGCTACAACAGATATATACTTGGAATTTATAATAACAATTTGATACTACAGTA